AAAAATATAATTTTGAATATATTCCTTATTTCGGCAGTCCAAATACCCAAAAATTGCAGGCATTTTCATTCCTGTAAACTCACATACTCGTATTGAATATTACCAAACCGTGCTTTTACTGTTACTGTTTATTGTGCAGATTGAGTAAAATGATAATAACTCAAAAATAAATTGAACAATAAACAGAAATAGCGTGACTCTATTTGTTTCCTCACATCGTTTCTTCAATACAAAAGATATCGTTTTGTGTTTTCAATTATTTTTAGGTTCAGTGACATGCGCCATTATATAATCATTCGCTTAATATAGTCGAAACATAACAATCAAAAAATTACATTATTTTGGTGCATTGTTGTTTTCGGTTTTAACGAAATATCGTCTTAAAATTAGAAAACTGAATTCGATAATTGCATCAAAATAAGTAAAGTCAAGATGGTAAGTGAAATCTTTTATTTAATTTGTATAATACATTATGAATTTTACAAACTGTTTTATTGAAAATTCACGAAATAACACAAACTATCAATTTCAATTTTATATCGAAGATACAGTACATATTATTAATATTTTTATCATATTATTAAAATATATAACAATAATTTATAATAATGTGAATAATTTTAATCTAAGTTTTTTACTAATTATTTATATTTATTCAACGAATTGTTTTAATAGGACAGAAAGCATCAATGCCCGACATGCGGAAAAGAATTACGACATAAATATAATTTGCAAAGACACATGCGAATTCAAACGAGTGAAAAGCCGTATAAATGCAATTTGTGCGGAAAAAGCTTTTCGGATTACAGCAATTTGAATCGTCATTTGAAAGTGCATTCAAATAAAAAGCCGTTCAAGTGCAATTACGATGACTGTAAAAAAAGCTTCAAAAGTAAATCCGAGTTAAAGCAACACACGTACGCATTGCATTCTGATGAAATTTTATCTGAAGTAAATATTACCACAAGTTCCAATATTTTCATTTTCGTTTTTATTTTTCAATTATCAAAGCGATAAAAGTTAAAAAATAAACAGACACAATATAAGTATATATGACAATATTTTAATTAATATTTTAAACAATACTCGATGCAACTGTGTTAATTCACGTGAACAAATATTAAAATAATAATAGTAATAAGCAACTGTAAACATCATTTTTGTTCTTTTGGCCTGGAAATTTTCGCTGTTTTTTTATTGGTTTCGACGATCGTTCAAATATTTTACATTGATTATGTTTCTTTGTATTTTTTAAGAAAACCCGTACTTTGTATTTAACCTTTGCCAATTAATCACTCATAAACATTTATAAAATCGGATAGACGTTATCCGTACTAAATTCATCAGTGTAATTAATATCCTACGATAAATGTAAAGTATATAAAATTTTAATTACAACAGTGCTAAATTATTAAGCGAATCATTCTTCACAATTATTACTCTTATAATTGATATTCATATTGATAAAAACAAGATACATCTTCGTGTTGTTATTTTCTAATTTATTACTTGCATTTTATAAAGTAAAAACACCAGAAATGCTTTTTTTATTTTTCACCGTATATGTTGTTATTTTTTTAAGATTGAATTCAGATTACAATCGAAAATTTTTTTTAAACACAGTTGTTCAATGTGCGTAATTGTTAGTGTCAATAATAAGATCTTATAACTCCAACATCATCACAATGAAATATAATGTGGAAATAATTTGAAAACTATTTTACGAATAATTGTGATAAACTTCTTGCCTTTAGAAAGCTACTTTTTATGTTTTTATATACTGTTAACAATTAAATTAAAATTTTTAAAATAATTAGATTCCACCGAACGACCCGAAGATAATGAGTCGTATTTGTAAAATCTGCAAAAAAGTTTGTCAGTCTCCCGCTGCTTTAAAGACTCACATGAGAACTCACACCGGAAAGTCGCCATTTTCGTGTAATTTTTGCAATGCCACTTTCAATACCAAAAGTATTTTAAACAGGCACATCAGAAGTATCCATCTAAAAGAGAAAACTCCATATTGCACCGAAGTAAGTGTATAAATAGGTTAATTAATGATTAAAAATTCAACACACAATCGAATATTAAAATGAAAAAAATTATAATAATAACTTCACTTATTTAACGAGCACGCATTGTATCAATATTCATTTATCGCATATATTGTACATATGTGTATTTGTTTTATTCGATACTCCGAGAAAAGATTTTTTTTAATTAACAGGAAAATTCCTGTATTAAAAATATACAACGATTCCGAATTATTCGTCTAATATCAGCCATTAATACGTGCACACTAAACACTTTTTGTATAAGCTATGAGTCGAACGATAAGCAGCCGGAAAAAAACGTCATTTTATGTATCCAGGATGAGACATTAGAATTAACTCTTTAAACTACAAGCTTTTATATACAATTCTACTTCAGGAAATCGACATTTTCATGTATGAACTTCATTTTCACTCATTAAAATTGAATGACAATTTACGGACATCGAATTTCGTTCGTTTTTCTATTGAATAATTATGAAGAAATATACACTCAAATACAAATTCAACTATATAAGTATAGGGAAATTTACTTTGATGAAAGTCTTTGTTCCGTGGAGTTACACAAATATTTATCGAATAATTAAAAAACGATGACTTCTTTATTTTCACAGAAATTGACAACTGCTGTATTTCACTCGTGATTATATTGTTTTATTTTAGGATGTTGTTCTCTGACATAATTTGCATTTATAACATTACTTTACCGAAAAGCATTTATATTTGTTTACCGATTATTTTGAGGGTTACTAACTACTCATAGTTTGTTAAAATTGTGAATTTTCAAATTTTATTAACATTGTAGAATATTTCATTTTAATTTGCTTAAAAACGTTGTTAACTCTTTTAGCATTACAAATATATCACTCTATATACATATTTTTCGCAATTTCCATTATAGTAAATGGTGTACAGTTATGTTATTTATGTTATTTACTTTCAGAAAAGAACAAAAGACGTTCAAAGAGAGCAGAGAAAATCATTTGGACAACCATCAACAAGTTTTCAAAGACCAGAGTCAATTGAATTTGAAGAAATTCCATCAGATCAGAATCTTTTTACTTTAAAAGAATTCCTTGAAACCGTTAATGTCAATTTAGGAATTGTCCAACAAAATTTACATAATTCAGTATATAATTCTGAAATTACATAATTTTATGCAATCCACATATTAGCAAATGATGTACGGTTATGATATTTATGTTATTTACTGTACTTTCAGGAAAGAACACAAGACGTTCAACGAGAGCAGAGAGAATCGTTTGAACAATCATCGACAAGTTTTCAAAGACCACAGTCAATTGAATCTGAAGATATTTCATCAGAGGAGAATCTTTTTACTTTACAAGAATGTGAAGAATTTCTTGAAAATGTTAACGTGAATTTAGAAATTATCAAATTGGAAGGCTGGCTCCTCACAAGTGACATTTTTCCCAGAAATGGACGTTGAAGAAATTAAATTGCAATGTCCGTTCTGTCGTGAACAATTTTTAGACGACGATTCGCTTAAAGAACACGAAAGAAACTTTCATCCGTCTGACTAATTAATTGTGGACAACTAATTTTCAAAATATAATAAAATCATAAGGTACCAAAGTGACAAGATTCCAAAGATTATGTAGATAAATGTAATTTAATTAGATGCATAAGGAAAAAAAATTAAAAAACCAAACATGCACCTTAGAATGACACGATGTTTGTCATGTTTGAATAAGCAGTAAAAATTACTAAAATTGTATACAGTATCTTATCTCAAAAATATTTTTGGTGTTTCCCTACATGTAGCCTAATTTTAACACTAAGTCGAAGCAGATTATTCGTAGTTTTCTTATATTTGTTATATAGTACTGATATTAATGAAACAAAATTACATTTTTGAGTCATTTTATTATTATTTGTTTATATTTATAACAAACTTTGTTACAATAAAAAAAGACAGGAAATTTTATAATATTTATGAAACCTTTACAGAATATTTTAAAAATTACGGAAATGTTTTAACAGTGATATAGTCACAATTATCTATCAATCTTAGAAAAATTCATTTGAGAACGAATTGTCTGTAAAAGAAATAAATGTATTGAAATTTACCAAAAACTTTTATCTTCAATTACGTTTAGAAAGATTCTCTAATATGCTGAAATTGTTTTTGTGAAATTTAAAATTTTTTAAAAATTTAAAATAAAATATTTTTATAAAATTAATCTTAAGTACTTTTTTAGTATTAAGGAAATTAATTTCACAGGAATCGCAAGAAAAAAAAACAAAAAAAAACGAATAAGTAAAAGACTCACTGCAAATTGTTGAGAGAAGGAAGATCGACCAGAAGATTGGAAATGTCAGAAGTTGACAGCCTTTTCATTCAGATAAACATTCTTCTGAACGATTAAATTAACGATAATTTAACGAATTAAAGACTATTTAAATTAATAACGATATTATTAAATGAAGAAAAGACAGTCTAATAAGAAATTTTACCAAGAAAATTTTATATTACATTTACTTCTTTGGCCAAATTATCAAATTGTTTTTTTGTCTCAAATTATAAGAAAATTATTTTTATTATTTATGCTTAATATAAATGTTTAAATTATTATCAATAAACACGTTTATTCGATGAAATATGTATTCAGTTATTTATCGACATTTGTTAGACTTAAAATAATTATTATAATTAGATTATAATTTCTCACATATGTGACCGGAGGGTCGGCACCTCTTCGATGCCTCGTGAGGATAGACACCACCGTGTCTCGATTGAAACGGAAGTCGCGTAGGTTCGGAAATAAATCACGCGAGCGGTCGCGTTACTGAGCGATGCGATTCGGGATGGAGTGAGAGAGACAGCACACCAGAAGTGATTCACGCAGAGACCACGTTAACGTAACAACGTTTATTTGTAAAGGACCGTAACATCATTATCTTACAATACATAAATACAGATAGATAAGCCTAATGTCGAGGTTCTGGGGAGAGAGACAGTTTACATAAGGTTGGCGTAGCGATAAATATCTGGAGTGGATGATGTTCTGTTGTAACGACCTACGGCGAAAATTCGTTTTCGGTGGTAGGTTGGTGAGAATAATGCGATGATAAGAACAGTTCGAAAATAGGTGATATCTTGGGAAAGCGATTTAGCAATATTTTTCAGTAGAATAAATGATATTCTCGTCGTGAAATATGGAAGATCCGTTCCGGGATTAGGTAATCTCTTCGCACATAGAATAGGTAAAGTATCCGTTAAGGTGATATAGGAAGTCCTAAACTGACTAACACAGTTGAGACACTGGCGATGACTGATTCTTTTTGCAATCACTTTCGATATCGGTTCGTTAACGCCCGACCAAGAAGTCAGCAGATCACAAAAATGCGTCATTATCGTCGTAGGGAAGGTGTAAATGGTCATTTTTTCTGGTAATTGAGGACAACAATTGTTAAGCACGTATGGCGTCATCGTCGATTAAAATTGGGTTTCTGTTTGTTAAACTTCGGATTGTCACACATATGTCAAATTAATATCCAGTTTTTCAAAGGAAGACCTAACAAGTGGTTTACACGTTTGGTTCGATTGCTAATGAATTTTATTTCTATATAAATAGTTAAAAGTATTATTTGTGTCTTCGAAATTAAAACTAATTTCTTCAAAATTATTTTCGTTTCTCTTTTAGTAAATGAATGCTCGAAGAAATCTTCTGGACATTGATGTGATATAAATGAAATAAAAGTATAAAGACAACTGCACTGTAGTACACATTAACCAAAATTTTGTATTCCAAAATTCCTGTTATATTTTCAATAAATATGAATATGAATAAAAACAAATTAAATAGAAAATGCTGGTTTCGTTTAATTAATAATAAAAAATGTAAAAGTTGAGAATTTTAACGAATGATTTTATGGTTTCTAAATAAATATATTGATGGTATTAAAGGCATGCGAATTTATTTTACTGAAGCGCTTTTCAGATAGTAAATAAGAATACTTTAGACAAAGAACTTGTTGAACAAAAATTATCACTTATTGATAAAATTATTGATCACTATTTTCTAAAAAAATGTACAGTTTTTTATGCACTTTTGTATTGTAAATATCGAGAAAAACACTTCGTTTATTTTTATAATTCACGAAAACTATCACGTAAAAGAGCACATTTCTATATCCAAAAAAGTTATTAACTTCAGTTTTATTCAAAACGTCATATGACAACATTTTATTAACATTTACTAAATAAAATAGAAAAAATTGTATGTATATACTGAGGTAAGAGAGATTGTAGTAATTTGAAATTGTCCAATGACATTTTAACTTATTTTCAACTAATGAATTGAAATTAATTTTCCAATGGTTTAATTATTTTTTTCAATGATATTCATCGCAGAAGCTTTTTCTATTTATATCTTTTTGTATTGCTTTTAGCATAAATGTGAAATTTTTTCTATAAAATATATTTATCGTGTTTTTATCGATTGCCGGCCTTAAGAAGTGCCGGGAACAATTGTTAACAGTTTTTGTGGGGCCCAAATATAGAAAACCATCAAAATGTACAGTACGTTTACAAAATGCACCCGAGTTAATACACTAAACAGATGTATTCGACATTTTAAAATAAAATCTCATATATGTAATCTTCCAAGTTACAAACTAAATTTGTGTCACCTGTAAACAGTAGTCACAATACCACTTGCTCTATTGACTGAAATAATTTATTGGGATGAAAATAAAAAAACGTAGTCGTTTCTAAGAACTTGGGAGGTCATCATTTATTTCTTTTAAATATTTCATGGTAAAAATTGGTTTGTTTCTGTGTTTTAAGGAACTTTTTCCACGACGGCCACATAGCCTAAAAAGAAAGGTCAGATCGTCTGAAGATTTTTCACGGAACATTTAAAAATAGTAAATGATGACCACCCAAGATTTTGGAAACGACTACGTCTTTTTATTTTTTAAAGAAATTTCATCATCCAGCGAAACCTTAAATATATTCAATACAGAGACTTTCACNCTTAAAATAATTATTATAATTAGATTATAATTTCTCACATATGTGACCGGAGGGTCGGCACCTCTTCGATGCCTCGTGAGGATAGACACCACCGTGTCTCGATTGAAACGGAAGTCTCGTAGGTTCGGAAATAAATCACGCGAGCGGTCGCGTTACTGAGCGATGCGATTCGGGATGGAGTGAGAGAGACAGCGCACCAGAAGTGATTCACGCAGAGACCACGTTAACGTAACAACGTTTATTTGTAAAGGACCGTAACATCATTATCTTACAATACATAAATACAGATAGATAAGCCTAATGTCGAGGTTCTGGGGAGAGAGACAGTTTACATAAGGTTGGCGTAGCGATAAATATCTGGAGTGGATGATGTTCTGTTGTAACGACCTACGGCGAAAATTCGTTTTCGGTGGTAGGTTGGTGAGAATAATGCGATGATAAGAACAGTTCGAAAATAGGTGATATGTTGGGAAAGCGATTTAGCAATATTTTTCAGTAGAATAAATGATATTCTCGTCGGGAAATATGGAAGATCCGTTCCGGGATTAGGTAATCTCTTCGCACATAGAATAGGTAAAGTATTCGTTAAGGTGATATAGGAAGTCCTAAACTGACTAACACAGTTGAGACACTGGCGATGACTGATTCTTTTTGCAATCACTTTCGATATCGGTTCGTTAACGCCCGACCAAGAAGTCAGCAGATCACAAAAATGCGTCATTATCGTCGTAGGGAAGGTGTAAATGGTCATTTTTTCTGGTAATTGAGGACAACAATTGTTAAGCACGTATGGCGTCATCGTCGATTAAAATTGGGTTTCTGTTTGTTAAACTTCGGATTGTCACACATATGTCAAATTAATATCCAGTTTTTCAAAGGAAGACCTCACAGGTGGTTTACACGTTTGGTTCGATTGCTCATGAATTTTATTTCTATATAAATAGTTAAGAGTATTATTTGTGTCTTCGAAATTAAAACTAATTTCTTCAAAATTATTTTCGTTTCTCTTTTAGTAAATGAATGCTCGAAGAAATCTTCTGGACATTGATGTGATATAAATGAAATAAAAGTATAAAGACAACTGCACTGTAGTACACATTAACCAAAATTTTGTATTCCAAAATTCCTGTTATATTTTCAATAAATATGAATATGAATAAAAACAAATTAAATAGAAAATGCTGGTTTCGTTTAATTAATAATAAAAAATGTAAAAGTTGAGAATTTTAACGAATGATTTTATGGTTTCTAAATAAATATATTGATGGTATTAAAGGCATGCGAATTTATTTTACTGAAGCGCTTTTCAGATAGTAAATAAGAATACTTTAGACAAAGAACTTGTTGAACAAAAATTATCACTTATTGATAAAATTATTGATCACTATTTTCTAAAAAAATGTACAGTTTTTTATGCACTTTTGTATTGTAAATATCGAGAAAAACAC